TCTTTCCATAACGATCATCGGTTCTCAATGCTATTTCATATATGTGATCACTCACATAGTAAACATGTATGAGATTTTGAGGACCATCCTACACCTGAATAACACACCGCTCGCATCTAATATTATGACCCATTAACTTCTTACTAACACTTCTTTAGTAGAGTAGAGTATTAAAAAAATAGATAACTAGTGGATTGAGCCTTGCAAACCATGTCTAATATTACGGGATATTGAGTCATACTTGAATAAGGTAAGACCATCAATTGTTTTAGAAAGTACATGGTATGCACCCAAAGGTTTGATCATACAGGTACCCCCAATAAAAACTTAGCCTTGCTCAGGTTAGCCAAATCATATGACAATTCCTCTATTGTAATCTAGCTCACTCATGAGGTTGGTCTTGATTGGATTAACTGAACCCTGTTGCAACTCAAAAGTGAGGTCCTAACATTACTCACAGGGTCATACCACCTGGTCATAAGTATTAAGACGACACCATCCTCTCTAAATGTAATTGGTTAGCACGACTGCCTAATTATAATAACACAAGAATACTCACATAAAAGTATACAAGTTTTTATCGAAATGATAGGTCAATGACCTAGCCAAGTATCCATCTCTAAGATCACCCTAGGCACCCTTTTACAAATTTTACGACATAATTCCTTTGGCAACCAATTCTTAATCCCATACCTAAGCTTGACTTGCAATTTTTTATTTTACATTAATTCAAATTCCAAAGCTCAGTTGAAACTTATCAATCCCTTCTTGATCCTACTTACTTATATACTTGCTTGAAATAAGGGAGTCTGATGCCCGTAGTTAAAAGAACAAAGAGAGGTTTGTTATGCGTGTAACACATACCTGTTGTCTAGAGATTTCTACTCTGGGCTTACTTGGCGCCCAATGTATAACCTCATTATATTCCACCAAGTAATCCCTTTGATGCTCCTTATATTTTCTGATTGGGCTTTCTTTCGATACGTGGCCTAACTCGTGGCACTGATAAGGTAACACCCGAGGCCAAAGAGGGCAGGGAGTGGTTGTAACACCCGAGGCAAAAGAGGGAGGGGAGTGGTCGTCCGAATTCACATTGGAATGAGAGGATCTTGAGGTTGTGCTGGTATGAGACTATATGGTTGAAGGAAGGCTTATAAGGATATATTGGCACTACCTATACCAACAAGATACATTATTTTTTAGTATCCCAACAAATAAGGACTCCATGGTTAAACATGTTTGACTTAGAGTAGTATTTGGATGGGTGAACTTATGAGAAGTTTCCCATAAAGCGTGTGATTGAGGATAAAACATGCTTAGAAGACCCGTGTTGGTTTGTGGGGTCAGTCGGTAATTCTGAAAGCAGTATGAGGCGTTACAAATGGTATCACATCATTCATATCCCAATACGATGTGGTTTGTGGACGAACCAAGTGGAAGCTGATGGGCATGTAACACCCAAGACGAAGTGGGCGGGGAATGGTTGTAGCACCTGATGGCAAAGAGAGCAGGGAATGGTCGCTCGAATTCACATCGAAATGAGAGGATCCTAAGGTTGTGCAGGTATGGGACTGCATGGCTGAAGGAAGGGTTATAAGGATTGATTGGTACTACCTATACCAATAAGATGCATCTTCTTTTCGGTAGCATAACAAATTAGAACTCTATAGTTAAACGTGTTTGAATTAGAGTAATATTTGGATGGGCGACCTTCTGGGAATTTTCTGCAAAGCATGTGAGTGAGGACAAAACATTCTAAGAAGACTTATGTTGATTTGTGGGGTCGGTCGATAATCCTGAAAATAGTCTGGGGCATTAAGGATAACACCTTATTGACCTGACACCACACTCCCCAAAGTGAAATTTCCTACAATTATCGCATTGAGGCTTCTGACTATGTCTAGTGCTATGGTTCAACTTCTTCTTTGCTTTAGAACCCTTCAGTTTTAGCATATGGTTGGATCTCTTAGATTAGCCACTAAGGATGTTGATGTTGCCTTTACAACTGGTACTAATGATGTTGTCCCTGTATCCAACGTTGGTAGTACATCATATGTTCCCGACATCCTTTGTCATCTTCTACATTTAGATTTTCTTCCACATCCTGGGTAAGAGTCACCCCTGGCCGTTTGCATCCTTATGGTCGCTCCACCATGATCTTGCCTGTCACATATATAGTTATTAAGTTGATCATGCATAATACTACGAATTATGACATTAGGGATCATACCGACAATAAACATATATTAGGAAGGAAATAATTTTACTAATGATGTCTCATAATTGGATTGAGAACTGAACTGCTCTGATACTAGCTATAACACCCTAATATAATACACACCTAGGATTGTATTAATCAAAGTGTTAGTATGTGGCACTTAGTACAACATAGTTACTAAAATACATATGAATACATGTCCAATGTAATTATCTCAGTATAGAGTACATGTTAAAGTTCCAAATGCCTATACAACTAAGACCATAATACCCAAAAATTAAGCCAATCAATACAACAGAAACATAAAATACAAACGATTAAGCCTTTGAGATCTTCAAGGCATCTTTCCTTTATTATATCCTTGGACCTAGCTATATGAAAATAATCAGCGTGAATGGGATGAAATGCTACATCTCAATGGATTTCTAAACTACACCACAACTCCACTTGACTATAAGGGTTATATTGAACAACTTTTGACACTAGTGACCTAGTTCTTTATGGGATAAAACTAAATAAAAAGGATTTAAGGTCTCTTAACCTCCAACTATCCGAGAATATTAACATGCTACCTTTATGTCCAATTATCAACAATGAGATATAATGGCTTAGCGAAAGAACATATACCAACTAGTGCTTTCTATGCCAAGCCTAGTTCATGGGTTAGATGACGTCCAACCAATCACACACTCGCTTACAGGCTCACATTTAAAGACTAGGAATAATGTTAACCAATTTTTATGCATATATTACTGAATACATCTCATTCTCATTATGCCCCACATTGGGGTGCGAATGAAATGCATACATGAATTCACACCATTCACATTACATCCCATTTAGGAGTGTGATAATCACATTACACCCCAATTAGGAGTGCGATCACCACATTAAGCCCATCTTTGGAATGAGAAGGGATGCACATAAACCATCTCATTGCATTACGCCTCATTTTGGAGTGCGAGTGGATGTACACAATCACCTCATTCGCATTACGCCCCTATTTAGAATGTGAATGGATGCACGCAAACCATCTCAACGCATTATGCCCCATCTCGGAGTGCGAGTGGATGTGCACAATCAAATATGAATATACATATACAAACTCGAGGATTCACAACTAGTTGCTCCTAAAATCTATTAGGGTTCCTCACTTTGATCATATATTTCTTTTCAAGTCGTTACATAAGGCACACACATCTTCATAATTCATTATTTCTCTTAATTAAATTACATGTTATTTCGGTCTCAATTAAATAGAGCATATCATATTAACATAACAAGAAAATATTCCAATAAAGAAAAGTCATTTTTCTCATCAAAATGTGACTCGGGACTAAAAGAATGACAAGTTGGCCGTCATGAGGTTGAAAGTCGTCATATGGCCCGTCACCTCAAATGGCGCCTTTCATGAGGGCATGGCACCTGTCATTGGGGCCTGAGGCATGACAGGTTGCCCATCACCAAGGGTAACGCTCTTAATTTAGGCCCGAATTTTGTTTTCTTCATGTCTTTTCAATCTAACCCAGTCCTGCTCATAATCAAATATACTAAATCAGAGATAAATGCATTAGAATCAAGTCAACAAGGGCATACATAACACTTCACGTAATGTTCATGATCAAGATTTGTCTCCTCTTCCTCCTTGACCATCACCCTATCTCCTTTTCACTCTCTCTATCTCTTATCACCCTATCTCCTTTTCACTCTCTCTATCTCTTCACATTTTGATTTTTGCTAAAGGAAGAAAAATGGCTAGAATGAACTATTCTTCACCAATTTTTGACTTAAATACTTTGGCAATGAAATAACAATGTTGTCCTTGCCACTTATGCTTATTTACAAAACATGTCATTGCTCTCACTTAGTCTAGATCAAACATGAGATTTTTCTACTAATCTCTCGCTACTTAACTACTTCATCTTACTAATCACACTTAGACAAGTTAGGGATATTACAAAATCAACAAACTCATCTCGTATCACTCATATTCACTTTCATACTATTCAAAAATCAAAAGGGATTTCACAACAATAAATGAAAAAAAAAATCGGTATTTTTATGTTTCTAAATTTAAAATTTTAAATAATTTGTTATTATTTTTATGTGTTAATAAATTTGTATATTTATCCTAATTATAATGCAATGAGAGTAAAAGAATAACTTTATTAAAAAGAAACTAAAGATTGAGTTAAAAATAAAAATAAAAATAAAATTTAATTTGTGAAAATCTCAATATAAAAAAAAAATCATCTCAAAGAATATTGCAATTATGGTAAAATGAAAGAATAAAAAAACACACACACACACATATATATATATATATATATATATATATATATATATATATATATATATATATATATATATATATATATATATATATATATATATATATATATATATATATATATATATATATATATATATATATATATATATATATATATATATATATATATATATATATATATATATATATATATATATATATATATATATCACAAAAGCTACTACTCAAACAATACAAGAAATTTGCTATCATAATTATCATTGACATCAATCTATAAAATAACATAATTATAACTAAACAATACAATAAACAATTTGTATAATTAAACAATACAATAAACAATTTGTATACACCAGTTTTTTCTTTCTCTCAATTTAATAAAACCATGTAAACAAACAATATATAGTTTAATTTTCATACAACACTTTTTCATATTAGCATTACATAATTCAAAAACTAATAACTTTTTTTCTATAAATTTTGGAACCCTTAATTCATTTTAACCATTTGTTTGATCATAAAATCTTTAACTTTAGAAATAAATTGAGAAGTTTCAGGTAAATCGGGAAAGTAATAAAATGCATGAATCATGTTTTCATATTCAATTAATTCCACTTCCTTTCCAGAATTTCTCAACCACTCATAATATCTTTTTTGCCAATCTATTAATGGGTCAAATCCACCGACTAACAAAATAGTATTTGGATAATTCACTTTTGAAATATCCATTGCATTTGGTCCACTAACATTAGACGATTCATGGTCTCGATTTGACCCATCTGGCAAAAACATCTTCCAATACCAATCAGATTTTTCCATTGAACAAACGGGTACCCCCTTCAAACGAATTTCAGATTCAGTTCGTTCCTCTCCTCCAAAAAACGGTTGCATCGAAATCATTCCTATAATTTTTAAGACTCGAAACTTTTCTAAGGAAACCCTAACTGCCACATGATGAATCAAGTTTCCACCCGCACTATCACCTGCCAAAAAACATTTGGTGATATCAGCTGATTTTCCTAAAACGTCACTATTGTTATCAAGAAACTTAAGAATTTCCAAACCATCTTCATATTGAGATGGAAAACGATGTTCAGGGGTAAGACGGTAATTAACAGATACAACAATAGCGGGAAAAGAACAACAAAACAACCGACAAAGAATATGGTATGGGATAGAAGAAGGAGACATGTACGCAAAACCACCTCCGTGGAAAAATATGATAATCGGGAAGGATGAGATTGCAGTTGCAGTGGTAGAGGAAGGTATAAAGAGACGAAACCAGAGATTATGTGTGGAGTTTACCATGACGTCAGAGGAAGAGATACCATTGATGGATTTAAATTTTGGTATGAGAGGGACTTTCCAGTCAATGAAGGCGAGGAGGCGGCGATTAATAGTACCATTGGAACGACCAGTGATATCAGAAATGGCAGATAGGATGGACATAGAGAAGCGCACCTTCCACGGAAGGTGTGATTGTGAGGTTGAAGACATGGTGGTGTGGTTGGTGGTGTGGTTATTAATAACCTTTGTTTGATGATGCTAATTACAATTGAGAAGTGAAATGAAGAAAGAGTAAGTATATGTATGTGTATGCTTTGTTGAGGAGATGAGATAAGAGATCATGGAGTGTTATATTAAGGGAATGAACAAATAAGAGAATAAAGGAACAAAATGTTAGGAACACATTGATAACCGACTAGGACCTTGCAAAAATTAAAATCTAATAACTAATTTTAGCACCACTAGCTATGGTCCAATGAATTTAAGCATACCTATAATTCTTAATTGTTGAAAGATGACTTATTTGAGGTTTTAAAGGAAAAGTTTGATGCGTATAAGAGTTTGATTTCAATTGTTTAATTATAAGATAAGATATGGCATGTTGTCACACTCACACATAAGTCTGGTGGAACAAGTAGTATCTTGTCTTGTCTTGTTAGGGAAGTCTGGTGGAACGTGGAACAAGTAGAATCTTGTATTGTTAGGGTGTACTTAAATTGTCTATTGAAAATAATTCCTTATAAATTAAAATTTGTGTTAAATTGAAGCTGAACTTGATTTTACTTGAATTAATAGGAAGTATACCTTCTAAAATAAGATACAATTTAAAATGATTTTATAAGTTTCATTGAATTTTAAAGAAATTGATATTGTTTTCTTAATAATTAAAAAATGTAATAACTTTTTTGTGTGGATTTTTTTGGGACACGTCTATAATTTTCAATTGATTTTATTACTTTTATGAAATGTGAATAGAAGAAGGAATTTATCTTTTGAAAGGCAAGAAACATTGATTGAAAAATTATCTTCAAGACACACTCATAATTTTTACCAAATGAACAAAAATGAGTGCATTTGAAAAATAACCTTTTGATTTTTATAAACTGAGACTAAATAAATAATTAGTAGTTCTGTCCAATTTAGGTCTGTCTCATTTAAGTCTGTTTAAAAGTGGAGTGAGGCGGGGCGGATTAATTTAGGCGTTCAAGTTTAAAAGTTAAGTCTATCTTATTTACTAACGAGTTGGCGGGTTGGCAGACTGTCCCGTCATTTTTTTATTCAATTTGATTTACTATATAACTTACAAAATTGTTAATCATTATAAAAGAGGCCGACAAATTTTAACAATGCACAGTAAAACTTTAACAAATCTTTACACAAATGTCATATTCTTCAACATAAACAAACACAGTAACTGTAATATCAAAAACTTAAAACAAGCAGACTAAAACCCCAAAAATCAAAATTTTATTATCATAAGGAGAAAAAATCCTTTATGCAAAACTTTAAAGTTTTAGAACTCGGCTCCAATGGCAACGAGTAATAGAAAATAAAAAAGAATGTATTCTCTATGTTTTGCAATAAAGACCCTTTTTACTACGAAACATAGACTAATTAATGTTTTTAAAATGAGGTGTTTGTGGTTATGTGAAAAATAAATATTAGGGTTTGATGAAATGAGAGTTGTTTTAAAAGTATGTTTACAACATACCATGTTAATATTGTTTTAATTCCAAATAAAAAATAATAATTTTTTAAAACAAAAAGTCCTTAGACAAAATCCGTCCCGTCCTGCCTCATGTCTGTTTTAAAAGTGGATTAGACGGAGACGGACCAACTTAAGATACCGAATCGAAAATTTTATCTCAATCCGCAAAATATAGTAGATTATACGGATAAATCCGACGGGTCAAACCTATTTTGTCACCCCTATAAATAACAATGAGGAGTGGATGTGTCAAGAATATAACTTTCATACGTAAAGTTATTTAAGTTATTTTTAAGACACACTTCTTTAATTTTTATTGAATGAGTTCAAATGAATAATATAAAATAGTGAGTGCATACAAAAACAAGAAATTGTTTTAGAGTTTCATAAAACTTGTGAAAAATTTAATGGGTGTAATGAAAACCCTCCTTAAATTATATTATAGAAGTCTCAGTTTACTACTAATCAAAATATGCATTATTATAAGCAAAATAATTCATGTACAATTTTTTTTTTATATTCACGTGACACTTGAGTAATCCTATACAAAAATTCAGTTAAATGAATAAATAATTTACATATATTAACACAAATTTTTAGTGACAAATAAAAAATTGTGGGTAAATATTGCTTATCCTTAAAGTTTTTACCTGTCACTAGTGTCATTTTCATAGCATTCAAAATAAATTAAAATAACTTTTTATGTCATTTTAATAGCCTACAAAGTGTGGGGAGTTCAAATATTACATTGAGTTGCATGGAGAGTGTTAGTGGTTACTTCAAATGTTATATTTCCCATACAATTTGTATAAGAAAAAAAAGCATATCTACAAGGTTGCCAATTAAAGCAACCGCTTTAGGTTGGTTGGTTGGTGGAAAGTCGATTTACAATAATGATAAACTTCCTCTTCTTTCTTAAAAAAATTAGTTTATCTACCGCAAAATTAGTTGGTTGGTTTGCAAAAATGAAAGGCAATTAATATAAATCTGCATTCTATTTTTGTTAATTGGACGTGAGGTCCTTGCGAGCCCCATGTGATTAACTACCATAACTTTTGAAGGGTCATGGTGGTGGGATTTGGTATCGACAAGTGTAGTTTTGGTTCATCATAATTTTGATCATTAATCATAGGTCATCAAGTTATTTTAAATTAGATGACATAATTGTCCAGGTCGACATCCACGCAACAATATTAAAATATGTAGCTTTGGTCCAATGTGCTGACCAACATAGGCCGACATAAGGTCGACATAAGACTGTGATAGGTCGACCTAAGACCTTTTTAGGGCGGCTCATTCGCTTTGACAGGGCGACCTATAACTTACATAGGTGGACACACACGCTCCCTTCCTTCAAAAGTCTTATTTTTTTCCTCCATTCATTTGCATTTCCTTTGCTTCATATATCTTATACACACACGCACGAGCGCGCACACACACACACATACACACACACGCGCACACACACATACTCACACACTCATGCATGCACCTCATTCTACCTCTCTTTTATGCATACACACAACCAAACTACACATATTTTTTGATTGGGTGACCATCTAAATTAGGTGTGATAACGTTCAATTAGGTTGGTGTAACTGAGAATATTGGGTTGGGTTTTTTGTGTGTTTCAAATAAGAAAACCAAGTTGGAGTTTTCCTTCAAGATCATTGAGGATTTGAAGGTTTTGGGCAAGATCACGCAAATACAGATTCAATCGAGTGAAGGCCTTGAGACAAGGTAAGTGGTACCTTGCAAGGGAGTAGCGTGAGACAGTGGATCGTGTTCGTGAATCTTGGGTTCGACAAGTGCATGATAGGGATTAATCCGATCGAGCAAAAACCTTGAAGACGAGAAGGTCTTGCAAGTTAGTAACAAGAACTGGTGGATTATAGCGGCATAGTTGGTTACTTTATCAGTCTTTGATAAAGGGTTTTGGAGTTGGTAGAATCAACAACAAACCATACAGTTTGTAGGGTTATAGTTATTCATCTCTTGTATATACATTGTTTGCACATTAAGGTTAATTGCAACTATCTCAATTCGATTTTTGAATTGCGGGCAGACGTACCCATCGCGAGGCCGATTGGGGAACTACATAAACAAATCCTTCTGTTTCTCTCTCTCTCTCTCTCTCTCTCTCTCTCTCTCTCTCTCTCTTTAATTTTTGTATTTGCAAATGATCGAACCTTTGTTGTTTGGATCAATTCATTTGGAAATCAAATTTTTTATTACATTTTGAATTGGGGTTTGTTGATATAATCTTAATCACTTTGATTGTGATTGGTTTTAATATCAGCAAATCAAATCAAATTTCCAAATGTTATCGAGTGCACTCAAGGTGTTCGATAAATTGTGTCTATTATTTTTAATTGATTTTTGATCATTGGAAATAAGCTTTACGTGCAGCTTAGCATTTAATTGGTTTGTGATTTATTGTTGTTTAACAATTCGTTTTCATTATCATTCAATTGGTCTACATTACGCATATCCGAGCTTTTCTATAGTAGGTTTGGTTAGACGATTCGATTCAGGTTGTTTCTTATGTGCCATAAAACTTTTGTAAATTATTTTTTCACAAAAGTTCAATTTTTAATTTGTGATATATTCACCCCCTCTAGATCGATGCATATCGTATAACAAGTGGTACCAAAAGCTCCTGTTAATTATTTGCTTAAGATTTACTTTTTAGAAGAATGGATACCGAATCTAAGGGAGCGTATAATAGAGTACCAATTTTTACCGGCAAAAATCATGACTATTGGAAAGCTTGTATACATATTCATGTCAACTCCGTTGACAAGGGTATATGAGACGCCATCAAAAATGGGCTGAATGAAATAACCGTGACCAATAATGGTGTTACATTACCCAAAAAGGAAGCACAACTGGATGTTAATGATTGGAAATTAAGGTCACGTGACTGAAAAGCGAAAAATATTCTCACATCTGCTTTAGGTGTTGATGAGTATTATCGTGTTTCTCATTGTGAGACAGCCAAGGCTATGTGGGACACATTAGAGGTTGCCCATGAGGGTACCAATAATGTCAAATAAGCTAGGATCAACACATTAAATCAAGAGTTTGAAACCATCGCGGACATGTGAAAATGGTTCACACATCTTATAAATCGATTAAATGCGCTACATAAGCCGGTTCCCAATGAGATTTCTACTAACAAAGTGTTGAGATGTTTAAGTAGGGAATGACAGCTCAAGGTCACCGCCATCAAAGAGGAAAATTATCTTAAAGCGATTGATCTCACAACTTTGTTCGGTAAATTAGAAGAACATGAGCAAGAACTCACTTGCTTAGCAAAATATGAAAAAGAGAAAGAAAAGAAGATGAAGAAGGAGAAAGGCGAAGAAAAGGAAGAAGGGAAGAAGTCAATAGCTCTAAATACTTCTAACTCAAATCCCTCACATTATGAGCTAAGTGATAGTGAAATTGAAGATGACAAGGATTTCTATGATGAGGATATGGGGTTGTTTGTCAAAAGATG